TGTTAGACTGACGTGATAACCAACTACACCACGACACCATTGCGTGATTTCGACTCACGCGTATTTACTAAATATAATATTTAATAAGATCTTCGTTTTCCAGTGATCCCAGCGTCATTATAACCGTGATGGACCACAAATTTCTACTCGTATCATGTATACCTGTATAGTTTGTGTATATACTGTACACTGTAGACGTGGTGCGAGTGATATACACCCTGTTAAATTTGGTGCTGGAAACCAGCTGTCACAGGGAAAATCAGCCAGCACAGTTCCATCCAGCCAACACCACACCCAGCTCATTTCAAACACATGGCGCCAACAGGACATCCAGCCCAGGCAAAAAAATGGCGCCAACAGCTCATCCATTCAATGGCGCCAAACCCAGCATCCATTCAAATAACAATACAACAGCTCAAATAACAGTCAACTTGGGGGCTACTAACAGTCCATTAGAAGCTAATCCATTACAAGTTCACTACACATAACAATTGCCTGCAAGCACTTATACAATAGTTCAAATTACACACAACAATTCAAATTACAATTCTTGCTCACAAATTGTATAGCCTGCAGGTTACACCAAAATGTGCCATCGAATTCCGTCTTCTTGCCACCTCTGTCCTCCAAGGCAGGCAATCAACAGTCCAACAAAATAGAGAACTTGCAGGAACCATGGCCTGAAGGAAAACAGGAGTAAAACAAGAATCCATGAGCACGGCGTGTTAACCGAAGATGCATGGCACAAACAAGATGCTCAATTGGTTGCAAGCCCGGTCATATCGAGAAGCACGTGTTGTATTATTTGTGGCACCACATTGCTTCAAACCATTACTCAAGACCTCCAACACATCCATGACACAAAGTACAGTATAACCACGAAACCAGGTACAAACCTCAGACTCCACGAGCTGCACATTTCGCCGCACCACGAAGACGAACGGACCGCACTGAAACCAGTAATACAGCAATCACATTGATCAGCCCACCAAATCAAACACCCAGGGAAGCAAAGTAATGCAATCAGCACAAATGCCTGGCTCACCGCCTTGCACGACAGAAACAAGATGGTCAATTGGTTCCGCTACTGGAAGAAGATAAATGGGAACGACATACAACAAATTGGTCAATTGCCTGGGCCAGCACAAAACTAAAGACCGTGATACCACAGCACTGCAATGATTACATGACTGCCACTTTATTTGAATGCAGTTTGGCATCATTTTCTCTCGGTAATAAAAGAAAGAATTTGTTTGTGAGATGAAAGCAACATTGACCAACATAACGTTTACTAACTCAAGCAGTCAAAGCAGGTGACAAACCAAAGAACTGAGCAACAAGTAGGAGCTGCACAAGCAAACAAGGAAGGTGTTTGTGGAAGAACGTGTTTGTAGAACTGATCAACTGCACATTGGATGATTGCAATGCATTATGATGCCAGTCCGGCAACTGATACCCCATTCCTTTTCTGTGTTCACCAGACCACTAATTCGCCAAGTGCCAGCACTACAGAACGATGGTCACAATGTAAACAAGCACACGATTCCCTCAAATCCACAAACACAGACTGGTAGAACGATAAACAAGTGCTACCTAGCAGCTGCAGCATTTTTCACTCATACTTACTAGAAGCCAAAGCAGTTTCAATTATCAACTAATACAAACTAAGCAGGATCATGTAAGACTGTACATCTAATATAAGCATGAACTGTACATCTAATATAAACACGAACCTACAACTTAAAAAACTTTAACTTTGTCTATGAAACTGTAAATGTAATAGAATGCAGGATCACCTTTGCAAAGCAGCCTATGCAGCACCACAAGTGTCTCCTGGGCAACCTATAAAACAAAAGAAGAACCCATCCTATATTAATGGCCACTAAGGACGGCATAACCCAGTCTTTATGAATGGCACAAATACATGGGACGGCTAACTCTAATTGAAGTACTTGGCATCTCAATTATAATTACCTTTGTTGCATCATTGCCCCTAGAGAGCCACAGATATATACTCCCTCACTAATGACATAATGGAATTAGCATTCATATGAACCCAATCCGACGGGGGGTATGTAGAGGAACCAACTCCAATCTCACGATTCCGTAAAAAATTGTGTATTGCAAAGCATGACATAATTATCATCTTTTGCTTTTCCCTATGACAAAACGGTACCCCATTCAATATGTGCCAACGGGCTTTGAGAACCCCAAATGCCCTTTCGACTACATTGCGGAGGCTCGAATGAGTGAAGTTAAATTTTTCCTGTCTTGATAATGTGTCCATGTCTACACCCCTAAAATCGTCAAGATGGTACCTGCTATTTTTGAATGGAGCCATGTAGCCAGTCTCCAGTGCATATCCCGCGTCCACCAGATAGTACCATCCTGCAACACATGCACCATTTCCACAATTTATTTTCTTTATCTTCAAAACCAAATACAAAGATGGTTCAACTATTGCATGGCACTAATCACTAACCTTGTCTTGTTACGAGTTGTAGGTCAACCTACAACCAACACATGTACATCACATAACACAATTTATTTCGATTAGAGAAAAAAACGAGTACACAAAGTTCAGGCCACATCGATGCAACACACTGAAACTGTCCAAGGATTATTACAATGACAATATAAAACGAAACGAACATAAGGCAAACATACATCCTCAACATGCACAATTCGAACATAAAACTAGATAGAATGCCACAGAAGAAACGTTCGTTGGGATAATGACTACTTGGATCTAGCTCTCAGAACCTCCCAGCAGGCCTCAATCAAGTTCATGCGGCCCTCTTTCGTTTCCATGGTCAGAAAGTTCCTACGGTCAACTGTGTTCTTAAAAACAACTAAAGCATGAGCAAACGTAGGATCAGACTCGGGCACCCCATCTTGTTTCATAAGTTGCTTCACTTTGGCCATCTCCTCGTCGTGCTTGCTTGACCCCGCCTTCTGCTGCTGCTGGTTCTTAATGAACTGGGTCAGGTCTTCAAGGCACTCTTCAATGGAAACAGTTTTCTTACTGGGAGGGTTGTTGATGGAATGTTCTCTATTGGTTCGTTTGGAGGACTGGCCGACACTGTGTGTACCTACAGGTTCCTAGGACATGTCGTGTGGACTTTGATTGGTAGGAGTACTCGGTGTCCTCTCGCGATGATGTCCACCAGCAGCGAGCAACATGCCCCTTTCACGGGGGGTGCGTCCCCAAAGAGTGACTAGTAGGTCAAGGCATTTGAGAACTTTGGTCCGCTGCGCAGCCGATTGGCTATGTTCCTGCACACGTGCCATGGTGCCACAAGTTAGGCCGAATAGAATAGGACCATCCCTAGTACTTGGTAGTTAGTGGGTTAGAAAGAAAATAGGTGGAAGGAAGTACCCCATTGCCATCCTCAAAAAATGAGGGGTCAACTGCGACGCCTCCTGTGAGCGGGTCACGGCCCAGGCCAGTGTGGGTTTGAAGGTCGCGCCAAGCGAAATATGACCGCTTTAGGTCACTCAACTTGTTTTGAAGCTGTTTCTTGCCATAACCCAACTTTGTTTTGTTTTCGAATTGTGGGTACATATTGTTCCACCCGACGGTCATCAGGCCTCGTTGGTTCCAGTGCAAGAGGTATTTCTGCTCTATGACTAATTCGAGAAAGGTCCTCAAGGTGGCTTCGTCCCAGTTAGCACAGTCAGTGGACATCTGTTGGCATTTGCAAATGATATGGTATGATGATTGCAGCATACAAGAAAATTTGCAGCACTTTTAAGACTAACAAACAGTGGATTTAGGTCGTATTAGAAGGGGACTTGCCTTGCCAGAAGTCTTGGCGCGTTTTGAACGGCGGATGCAGTGCCTGCTTTTAGGAGAGGAGCAGGACGAAGCGGACGACGCTGCCAGTGTGGCGGATCCGGCGAGAAGGCTGGCGAATCCGGCGAACTGAGAGGCGGATCCGTTGGAGGCGGGCGGGCTCAGCTGCAATAGGAGCACATGGGGTCGAGATCCGGGGGGGGTGGGGGTGGGGGACGGTGGCGTCGGATCCAAAGCCGAGTACTGACAATGGCGTTCGAACATGTGGGGAGGAGGAGGTGAACTCGGATCTGGGGTACACTGCTTGCCGTCGGAAGAGCGGCGACGTCGGCGGGTTGAAGGGGATGCGGCGCTCTACTTGACACACTTGATGGTTTCGACGGCGCCGGGAAGGAACGGAGATGCGGAGCTCACACCGCCGGCGACACGCGCGGCGGAAACCCTAGGCGTGGGGGCGCGGGGGACGGAGTGAGGGAGGGAGGAAATCAGCTGGCGTTCGGAGTGAGTGAGCGGCGACCGAGGGACGCGGCTGGAAGGCTAGCCAGCCCTAACGGCTGGGCTGATCAGCCCAGCGAACAGCGCCCAACCAGCCGATTTTGCCCAGCCGAACGGGCTCATACACTGTACAGTATACCCCCTTCATTCAGTGATTTCAGTCTGATATACGTACTGTCCAAGTTGTAAAATTTCCTGAAACTACATGCAACGGCCAAGCTACAATTGCATGCACGTGCCCACACACAAACAGCGGAACACGTAAGTTGGATCGGGCTGCTACCTTGACAAGATGCAAACATAGAATCTGGAAATCACAGTCAATCAAATGCAAACCATATGAAATAGTTGATACATCCAGGTAATACAATGCCATTGTCATGACTATTGTTCCTAGAAACATCTATATTTCTACAAATTGTAACTTTAACTTATTGCGTATTATAGAAAGATTGCCCTGCAGATATCAGGCCACGCACTACAGCACCAGGCACAAACTGAATATTACTGCTTCTCAGGAGCATGCTTCTCAATCTCAGGTCACCTTCAGCAACCAATTTATATACCTGCACAACAGCATGCCTTTTATTTATATACCTGCAGTTGAGCGACTAAACGAAGGCTGCCTACTTCATCAGAAGGTCCGACGCGCATCCTGGTTAATCAGAAGTGGCAGACGAAGTCGTGGAGATCGCGATGCACGTCCTCGTCATCCCTGAGCTTTGCCATGGCCGGCTTCTCGATCTTCCTGATCCACTCCTTGGAGACGCGGTAGATGCCGCCGATCTCCTCCAGCGACCTGCACCGGCCGTCCGTCCTCCAGCCTGTGCCGCAGCCTCAGCACTTGTCCTTCCCGCGCGGGCAGCCTACCCAGCACCAGCAACAGTCTCTCCCTCAGCTGGCCCCGGAACAGCGCGGCCTCGTTCGGAGCCTCCGGAGACGCCGCCTCGTCTGGGATCACCTCCTGAACAAAACAAGACACAAATCACTCATTGTCAAACGTGTACTGCGAAGCATGATGCAGTGATGGTAGAGGTTGATACCGCGAACTTTGTGTGCTGTCTGGTCCCGATCTCCGAGTAGAGCGAGACGGCCCTGCAAGAGCACTTGCGCGCCAGCCTGACGTTGGAAACATGCATTGTGATCAGTCCAGTGGCAAAAGGTTTCCTAGCAGATGGTTGCAGAGAGAGACAGAGAGAGGCTTACAGGCAGCAGGGTGACTCCTGAGTTTTCAGCCAGGAGAGCGAGCATCCCTTTCCTAATCCAGTACTTGACGTACGTGTAGAACCTGCACCCCTTCCGGCTGTCAAACTTCTCGGCGCCATCAAGCACACCCATCTTCCCAGTCTGCAGCAGTCGATGCCATTTCCACAACAATAACCGAGCAAATCCATCAGTCGCTTGCACATAATCTAATTAATGATCGGACAAGTGTCGATGCATATGCATATATATGTATTCATTTACTATGTTAAATAAGAGACAATCATCAGAATTAATGGTGACTGGTGAAGATGCAATGTAACATATGAACCTGAAGCAGATCATCCAAGGCCGTCCCCATCCCGATGTATGTTCTCGCAATGTACCTGACAAGCCACTCGGTGGTCACCACCAGCCTCTCTCGGCAGCAGTATCCTGCCTGCAGCCTGCTCATCAGCTCTGCCTCGTCCACAGTCCACACCAGCTCCCTCTGCCCACCTGTGGTAGCTTACCTCCTGCCCCTCCTTCACCATCTTCTCCCTCATCTTCTCAAGGCTTGCACATTCCTGAATGCAGGTCAACAAACATACAGTATCTATAGAAACATCAGTTATCTTGCATGATAAAATCCTAACGGCTGATAATCTTCAAAAAAGGGGATGGCCGCACCAAGACCATTGTGTCTTGTGTAATGGTCCTTTGGAGACAGGACTGCGCCTCTCTTTGTCATGCCCCTTTGCAAGAGCCGTATGGGCTCAGGTGCTATCTTAGGAAAATTTTGCTTTACAGCTGCCACAACAAGAACCTTCCTCAATCGCCGCTTGGTGGGAACATACGGCTAGCAAGATGCCAAGGCAAGAACTTAGGCGCTTCAATGGAGTCGTTATTTACATTGCATGGAACTTGTGGAAGGAGAGGAATAAGAGGATCTTCGAAAATGTACACAAGACGGCACAACAGGTGGCCTCCATGACCAAAGAGGACATAGTGCAGAGACATAGGGCATTGGCCATGGCTGGGCGGTGAACTAGCAGTGACAGGCGTGTAACTCTTTGGTCCTAGGACCAGTTTGTTTGGCACAGTGGGTGTCATGTGTACATAAACCTCTTTTCCTTACTTAATTGAGCGGCAGAGCTCCTGCCTTTTACTTAAAAAAAAAGAAACATCAGTTAAACTGAACCAAGAGCCTGAAGAATATTATTCTCTATTAATGCATGCCCAGCAAAATTCTTGCTGGTGGCTTTCAAAAAAAAAAGAGCCTGAAGAATATGACATGCATTCTCTGCTGTAATGTAATTCTAATTCACTGGTAAAGAAGAATTCTGCTTCACAAAATATAGTACCTTGATGGTCTCTAGCAGTGCTGATTGCTCATGCACAATGCTCCTTCGTCTTGGGTGACTTTTCCACTCGGATATAAACTGGCTGCTACTCGCCTTCCGTGATTTTCTGAGTCTTGGTGGATTCACTTTTACCGAGACCCTGGATCCTTTCTCTGGCGCTCTCATTCTTCTCAGCTTCCTCTCTTGACTCTTGCCTCTCCGGACAACGACCACTTTGGTATTTACTTGCTCCTCATCCAGAGGAGTCTCTAGATCAAACTTGATGATTTGGTCAAGCAGAGAGCTGTCTGATTGATCATGTGATGATGAGACATGTGTTAGGGTGTCTAGCAGGGTGGCGCCCCTGGTCATAGAAGCAATAAACGATCTTAGAGCTCCAAGTTGCTAAATGTGCACAAGGATATCGCTCTCCAGCATCTTCAAGTCTTTACTAGCCAAACTCGTCTCCAACTCTTGAAGGTTCTGCATTGGCAGGCGTACTGCAAGCTGCTGTTCATGTGATTCCTGTCCATCCAGAACAATGTCTCTTCATCCATCCAGCTGTCATACTGTACACTAGTTCTGTCAAGAGCGTCATCAAGGAGCTTCCTTTCTGCACGCACCTGCAAGTCTTAGTGTAAAAATACTTTTTTGTGGCAATACCAAGAACAGATAGAAATGATTTCTTCTCTGGAGTTTAGATTCAATCCAACTTATGAAAGGTTGCAAGAGGTGGCACCTTGCAAATATAACATTTACAGGACAAGAGACCATGTACTCTCAGTTAACAATCTGTAGTGTCTAGCTAGCACAGTAAAACACGGAAAATGTCTCAATCATCCCTAGGTTCCATGAAAGAATGATATTTTTCAGGAAGAAACTTCACTTCTGCCTGATACTTCCCCTCTGAAATAATAGAAATCAGCAAAGCAGCAGTGGAAGCTTCAAGGGGGAAGTTCTTCTCATCAATTTTGGTAAGGTAGGTCCCAGCCCTTCTCACATCTCCTTTTTCAAGTAGTCTTCTAACTATGGCATTTAGCATACGTGAGTCGGCAGCACAACCATTCTTCTCCATAGATAGAAAAAGCTCATCAGACTCCTCCAACAAACCTTCTTCTATATGACTTTGTATCATTAAGCTGTAGGTTATTCTATCAGGCAATGGACCACTGATCACGATAGCCGAAAACAGGCCCTTTGCTTCATCAATCCTACCAACTTTCAGCAAGGCATTAATCATTATATTGAAAGTCCAAACCTGAAGCTGAAATTCTTTTGAACGCAAGCCCTGAAACATTCTCAACGCCTCATCAACACAACTATTTTCACAGAGTCCTCCAAGAACTATGTTGTATGTGTCGATTCCCAACTATGTTCCGCTGTCAACGATTTTCATGTAGAAATCCTTTGCAGCAACAGTCCTACCAACGTGAAATAAGTCAATAACAACAACAACAAAGCCTTTAAGTCCCAAACAAGTTGGGGTAGGCTAGAGTTGAAACCCACAAGAAGCAATCAAGGTTCAGGCACGTGAATAGCTGTCTTCCAAGCACTCCAACGGTTTTCTTTCGGGTTTCATCTCCATTAGAATGGCTAGATTTAACGTTGGCTCGCCACGCCTATCACAACCCTCCTCCTTTACCAGGGCTTGGGACCTGCTATGTTGAGACAACATAGGTAGAGTTGTGAAATAAGTCAATAACCCGTGCAATATTATATTATATGTAATAGCATTAGGTTTAACATCATTGCTCAACATTTCTCTGTAAATAGCCAGTGCATCATCAATCCTTCCGTTCTTACAGTAGCCATTAAGCAAAGCATTGTAAGTAAAATGGTCAGGTCGCAAGCCAATGGAGACCATACGATGAAGTTGCTTAACTGCTTCATTCATCTTTCCATCTAAGCAATATCCATCTATCAGTATAGTATATGAAACAACATCTGGTTTCACACCAATGTGTATCATCCGATCAAAGAAATCCTGTGCTTCCACAACCCTTCCTTCCTTGCATAGGCTGTCCATTATTGTGCTCAGGTATATGGTATTGGGATCGATGCCCTATTGATCATTTCAAAAGACAGATCCTCAACCTTCTTCCATTCACCAATGGTACAGAGACCATGTATTAGTGAGGTAAAACTTATGATATCAGGAGACAACCGAGACTGACCATCTGATTGAAATGGGACACAGCATCCTCCACTCTGCCTTTCTTGCAAAGAATGTCAATGATCATGCTGTAGGTGACTACATTAAACCTTTCTGTCGCATTTCTATAAATGCAGTCAATGCCTTATCCACCGTTTCATGATTAGCGTATGCACGTATCAGGATGTTGAAGGCATGATGTTCAAGCGGGATACCATCTCGAATCATCAAATCAAGGAGATCATGCATATCAACAAGAGCTCCTTTGGTGGCGTACCCATGAAGCAGACTGCAGTAGGTGGTAACATTGGGTTTTTGACCCCTCCGGACCATTGAATCGAAGATATTCCTAGCTTCTGTGCATCTTCCAATCTTGTAATAATAGTCTATCAGGATACTGTAAGTGACAACATCCGGCTGAAGACCACCTCCAGACATCTTTTTTGAGCAGTCTCACTGCCTCTTCCAACAGTCCTAAAGAGCAATATCCACGGATCAGGCTGTTATATGACCAACCATCCGGCATAACACCTTTATCAAACATCTGTTGTAGGACTGCTTCAGCCTTGTCCATTGCTTGAGCCCGCACATGCCGTCAATGACTGAGTCGTATGTCACAACATCAGGTGGGAACCCCCGACCCAGCACTTCATGAAACAGGGTGTAAGCTTTGTCGACCTCACCTTCTTTAAAGAAGCCATCGATGACCGTGTTATATGACATCACATTGGGAGGGCAGTTGAATCCGTCATCAGCCGTCATGTGAAGCAACAGTTCGAGAGCCTATTGACGCGTCTTCACGGCACAGAGCCCCTTGATGAGAGTGTTGTAGGAGAAAACATTAGGTGTGCAGCCAAGCTCCATCATCCATTGCATCGCTCATCCTCTTGCCATCACAGAGACCCTTGACGAGAGTGTTGTAGGAGACAACATCAGGTGTGCAGCCAAGCTCCGGCATTCGTCTGAACATATATCCATTGCATCGCTCGTCATCTTGCCATCACAGAGACCCTTGATGAGAATGTTGTAGGAGAAAATATCAGGTGTACAACCAAGCTGTGGCATTCGTCTGAACACTATATCCATTGCGTCGCCCGTCCTCTTGCCATCACAGAGACCCTTGATTAGCTGGTTGAGGGCCATGACCTGCACCCTCCATCCTGTCTTGAGGAGCTGGCCAAAGGCAGCAAAGGCAAGGTCCAAGCGGCCTACAGTGCAGAAGCAACGGATGAGGATGCCAAAGGTGAAAGCATTGGCGGCCATCTTATTGACGCCAGCCTGGGCCATGGTATTGAAAAGGGACACGGCGAGCGCAGCGCTGTGGCGCAGTGACGACGAGGAGTCCGCGCGAGCGACGACGGTGAGGACACGAGTGAAGGCGTACACAGAGGCCGGCCTGGCCTGAGGAAGCAATTCATCGAACAGGTTGAGCGCGTCCTCTAGGCCGAGGCTTCCGGAGCGGTGCCGCTCTACGATGGTTCGCTCCAGCTCCATGCGCGTGCGGTGGACTGGCTTGACCCCTCGCGACATGCGGCGTGCCCTTGTGTGGTGGGAGGAGTGGTGCCTGGTGGAGTGGATGGGCCAACAGCGTTGGCGCCGGCGGCGCAAGGCACGTGCGCGCCGCCCAGCGAGAGGAGCAGGGGCACATGGCGCAAGCAAGATGTGAACTCGCTCGCCTTTATTTTTTAATAATAGGCTTCTCTGGGTAATGGAACAGGAGGAACACCAAACTCGATTTTAAATCATACAGCCATGACACTTGGCGAATTTTGTCACCGTTTGAAAGTGCTGCGTATGAGTGTAGGTTTGTTATTTTGTTCCCCAGTCATCTAGGTTTTTTTTGCACAAAAAAAAACGAAAAATAAAAGAAATGGGTTACAAAATAAAGTGGCGTCGCCCGGACTCAAACCGGATATAACCAACTACACCACGACACCGTTAGATGACTATTAATATAAACGTGAATCGGTTATAGATTAGTTGGTTAGTTTCTTTGGGGTTTAAGTCATCAACTCGGTATGGGTCCTCGTATTTTTTTATCTATTTTAGGATTTAACGACGCTATGTTTTTAATGTTAAGTGATGTCCCCGTCGACAGCGAGGCGCTAGTGGTGACTTCGTGATTTTCGAAATCTGGCAGCTTAGTCCTTCGATGTACTCATAAGGGTAGGGTTTATGTACGTGTGTTCACACGGGTAAGTGTCTTGCGTACGTGTTATAGACGTCTACGTTATACTGTGTAATTCTAAAAAAAGGACTACTACTAATATAAATAGAAAAAAGTCTACTTAGGCGTCCCTCAACTCCGCGTTTTCAGCTCATCCACGTTTTTTAGCCAAACGGTTTCAGCCTCACGCACTGCTCTAGGGAAAAGGGTGGAGTTGTTCTAAAGAGGTACTCCACAAACTCCAGTTTTTTGTGCAGCTGCTCCACGATGAAGTTTGTGGAGCAGAGTTTGTGGAGCAGTCCCAAACACCACCTTAATCCCCTCAACTATTGATGGTTATCTACTTCACCTCTTAACTATAAAACTCGGTATTCTACTCCTCAAACTATTGAAAATCGTCTAAATAACCTCCTGAGACAGTTCTGAAGGTGGTTTTGCTGATATAGCATATTAAAAAGTCTATATAACCCTCTAACATATCAAAGGTTGACTACATGACCCCCTCAATTATAAAACATGATATTATAGCCCGTAAAACATCAAATAATATTCAAATGATTTACCAGATGATCTTTAGGGTTGTGTGAACACCATATCCCACCACGCTGGCCTAAACACACATGCTTGCACGCAGGCATTTGTTGCCTCCACCTTCCTACTCTTTCTAGACTGACACACTCACCAACGAGTAGCATGTGACATCTGATCTCCTGCTCCACCTTCCAACTCTCGTCGATGGATTAAGCTCAAGCATGCCATGCCTACATCATCGTCATTCAGCCCCTCCCACATCCTCCATCCGATCGTCCTTCAATTTTTTAGATAGCCATAAGAGGAGAAAACGAGAGGGGCGAGGAGCCAGATGACAAGGGCGCAAGCGTAGTGCATGTGCTTAATGTCGTTGAGGAGTGCATGAGGTGGAGTAGGAAATAAGTTGGTGCTCATCGGGCAGTAGCACAAGCCTGAAAAGAGTTCAAATAGGGAGGCAGCCGATGGGTCTGTGTGCAATCATGTGTGCTTATGCCAGTGTGGTGATACATGGCCATTATTTGAACATTATTAGATGCTTTAAAAGCTACAATATCATATTTTATAGTTGAGGGGGTCATGCAGCCAACCTTAAATATGTTAAGGGATTATATAGACTTTTTAATATGCCACTTTTGCAAAATTACCTTTAAAACCACCTCGGAGGTTATTTAGATGGTTTTCAATAGTTTGAGGGGTAGAATACCTGGTTTTATAGGTGAGAGGGTGAGGTAGACATCAAACAATAGTTGAGGGGTTAAGTAGACTTTTTCCTAATATAAACCCTCTATCTACAATGACCCGTTCGCTGGTCTGAAACTTGGCTAAAACTGGCTAAAAAACATTTTTCTGGCTGAATTATTATGAGAGAAAAATACTATTCCAACTAAAAAAAACAAGCCGAATATGGCGTAAGCCGAACGGAGCCAACGTGAGGACCATCATCAGCTCAATTAATTTAATTTACTGCCCAGAATAAGGTTTTCTTCGTTTTCAAACATTCCCAGCGTGACGGATTACAAATTTCTATCATGTAAAAAAATTTCTATCATGTATGTATGTATACCTGTATAATTTGTGTCTGTATTGTACTATACTGCACAGCTTCAGTTTCAGCCTGATGCCCTGATAGTGCCGCAAGTCGTACATCACTATTCCCTGAAACTACAATTGCAGTGCATTAATCAGAAGCGGCAGACGAAGTCGTGGAGGTCGCGACGCACGTCGTCGTCGTCCCTGAGCCTGGCCATGGCGGACTTCTCGATCTTCCTGATCCACTCCTTGGACACGCGGTACATGCCGCCGATCTCCTCCAGCGACCTGCACCGGCCGTCCTCCAGCCCGTGGCGCAGCCTCAGCACGTGTCCCTCCCGCGCGGGCAGCCTGCCCAGCACCAGCAGCAGCCGCTCCCTCAGCTGGCCCCGGAACAGGGCCGCCTCGTCGGGCGCCTCCGCGGACGCCGCCGCCTCGTCCGGGATCACCTCCGCGAACTTGGCGTGCTGCCCGATCCCGATCTCCGAGTAGAGCGAGACGGGCCTGCGGGAGCACTTGCGCGCCAGCCTCACGTTGGCCACCGACACGCCGACGGCCGCGGCGATCTCGGAGTCCGACGGGTTCCTGCCCTGGCTGTACCGGATCCCGCGCCGCGCCTCCTTCACCTTGCGCATGATGCTCTCCATTCTTGCCTGCACTTGCATTGTGAATCTGTGATCAGTTCAGTGGCAAAATTAAATTGCTGACAGGAAGCAAACTGAAAACATGTCGGCGTACAGGCAGCAGGGCGACTCCTGAATTTTCAGCGAGGAGAGCGAGCATCCCTTTCCTGATCCAGTACTTGACGTACGTGGAGAACCTGCACCCCTTTCGGGTGTCGAACTTCTCCGCGCCGTCAAGAACGCCCATCTTCCCAGCCTGCAGAGATCGATGCCATTTCAAGCCAACAAAAACCAAGATCTTCAGTCACACATAATCAGAATGGTGACTGATGAAGATGCAGTAGTGCTGTGTTTCGATATACGAACCTGAAGCAGATCGTCCAAAGCCGTCCCCATGCCGGTGTATGATCTTGCGATGCACCTGACCAGCCACTCGGTGGTCACCAGCAGCCTCTCCCGGCAGCAGTAGCCTGCCTGCAGTCTGCTCATCAGCTCTGCCTCGTCCACACCAGCAGCCTCTGCCCACCTGTGGTAGCTCACCTCATGCCCTTCCTTCACCATCTTCTCCCTTATCTTCTCAAGGCTTGCACATTCCTGCATGCATGCAGATCAACAAACATATTGTATGTATATATAAAAACAGTACTCAAATAAACCAAACCAAAAGCCTGAACAATTTAATTTGACATTCAATTCTCTGCTGTAACGTATGTAGTTCTAATTCACCAGTAATAAAGATATATATAAAAATGCTGCTTGACATGACATGTACTACATAGTAGTAGTACCTTGATGGTCGCTAGCAGTGCTGATTGCTCACGCACAATGATCCTTCTTCGTCCTGGGTGACTTTTCCACTCGGATATAAACTGGCTGCTACTCGCCTTCCGGGATGATTTCTTGGGTCTTCGCGGATTCACTTTCACTGAGATCCTGGTTCCTTTCTCTGACGCTCTGATTCTTCTCAGCTTCCTCTCTTGACTCTTGCCACTCCGGACGACGACTACTTCGCTACCTTCTTGCTCCTCATCCAGTGGAGTCTCTGGATCAAACTTGATGATTTGGTGGTCAAGCAGAGAGCTGTCTGGTTGGTCATGTGTTAGGTTGTCTAGCAGGGTGGCACTGTTCATAGACGCGTTAAACGATCTCAGAGCTCCAAGCTGCTCAATATGTGCAAGGATGTCATTCTCCAGCGTCTTCAAGTCTTTACCATCCAAACTCGTCTCCAACTCCTGAAGGTTCTGCATTAACAAACCGTACTGCAAATTGCTGTTCGTGTTATCCCTGTCCATCCAGAATGATGTCTCTTCATTTATCCAGCTGTCATACTGTACACTAGTTCTGTCAAGAGCGTCATCAAGGAGCTTCCTTTCTGCACTCATCACCTGCAATTCTGACTGTAAAAATACTTTTTTTGTGGCAGTACCAAGAACAAACAGAAAGGGAAAGAAAGCCCTTTCTGATCGTAGAGTGATGAAGATCGAGGACCTTGTGTTTTGTTAAGTTGGCCGCAGCTGATTTGTTCTCTGTGATTTGGAGCACGCCGGCTGAAGACGCAATGTCCCTGCTGCTACGGTCTCTGCGACGCTTTAGCAGGAGATGCATGGCCAGTGCTGCAAGGGATTCAGAGAAAATTGGCTTCCCTCCATTCACTGTAAACAACGCAGAAATGGCAAGAACACGCTATCGATTCAGTCAATCATGACCATGACCTTCGTTTTGTTTGGAATATAAAAAAAGAAAGAAAGAGAAACAGAGTCAATCACGAGTTCATGCATGCATGTCCTTGGTTAGTTCGTTTTGGAACAACAGCAAAGGAAGGTGTTACTGTTACATTACCTACCTACCGTCTGTCCGTCACAACAGTAATCTTCTAGTATGTCATCAATCGATAGAGAATTACATACAGCACAGGATGACGGCAGGAAATGCAGGTGTAATTAGAGTTGAGGAGCAGATGAGCACTGACATGGATGGTGAGACTGTTTTGGGGGCAGGGCCTGCATCATCCACGAGGAGGACGACGACGAGGAGGAGGACGGGCAGCAATAGGCGCATGGCCTGCCATGGATCATCTGCAAACCCATGCGTACAGGTACAGCCTCTTTATTTTTCCTCCTGTGCTGTACGTGTTGCAGCAGCAATGGCAGCTGAGCTGGGACTGGGAGTGAAGGAACGGACAGGGAGAGGGAGGGATAGAAAAGCCGGGAGCCCTATCCAAGCCTCCTGTTTGGTTGGACCTTGGCAGCAGGGGAAAAGACGATCTTGGCTGAAAGCGAGTTGGGATCTTTTCTACGACGAGTAGGAGAGTATCTCTTCTCGTCAGATATTTATTTTCGTCCTCTTTCAGCACTCACTCAGATTCTTTCCTCCTCGTCTCTCTCCGCACAAAAAAAAAAAAAAGAAAAGTGCAAGGGAATCGGAGAACGAGCAGTACGTGCCCGCAATTCGCAATTTCTTATTGGCATTTTAGTTGTGCCTACCATATATGTAAAAGGATTATATAAGTATACTTATTCGAAAGAGAGGGCACGTAAGTTGCTGTGGTGTAGTGGTTATCACGTCAGTCTTACACACTGAAGGTCTCCAGTTCGATCCTGGGCAGCAACATATTTTGTTATTTTTTATTCTTTCTTTCTTTTTTGCAGCATGGCCCCTGTAGTTGTAGTACGTTGTAACTTCCTGCAAACACACGACTACACGAGAACGCAAGATACTAATAATCAAACGGATTTACGCTCTACACAAAGGCGTCGTTAGATGTTGATGAAACAGTGAACAGAACAACAGAGGCTGGCACTGTGCCAGCCACGCAACACATGTACTTCTCTGCAGGCAGGGTCGTTCGTGAGCGCCACCTGCTGCATCTAGAGTTTACAGGCATTCTTATATATTAAGGCAGTTTACTTTGGCCGTCTCTTAGGCCATTCATGCCACCCAAATTATTTCCAACCATCCGATCCTACGATCGACGCTCCATGTTCGCTCCACCGCCTGCTACAGTACATCGCCCCCGCCACGAAAACGTCTCCGCTTCCCGTCTCCAGATTCTTCCCCTTTCTCTCCGACTCGCCTCTAGCGTCTGTCGCTCCGCCTTCCCTTCCTCGCGCTCCGCCTCTGCCTCCGTGTTGCGCCGCCACCGGCCGATCTGCTCTGCCCTCCGCATCCACCGGCGCTGACTCCCCTACGGCGGATCCGGCCGTGGTTGACCCCATTGCTGCGACCATGGAGCTTCCCTTTCCTCCCTCCTCCTTGTTCCTCGGGTTCCCAAAACCCTAGGTCCGTCGCATCAGTGCGCCCTGTGCTTCGCGCTTCACCTCCGACCGGTGTGGCCTGCATTGGAGCCTTCGTTTCGGTTCTGTACGGCGAGGGGTCTCCCGCTGGTCCTCCAAGGGCGGCGGGCTTGCTGGGCCCTCGCCGTGCTGCCTCCGTTCTTCTCCGGCCGACAGGTGCTTCGGTGGGTTCTCTGCGCTTGCTTCGCCGCCTCCCTCTCTCCCCGTGCGGCGGTGAAAGGACCTAGGATGCCGCCTAGAGGGGGAGTGAATAGGCGTTTCTGAAAATTAACACCTTTTCAATGCGGAAACGATTAGCAAGGGGAGTTTCTAAAATGGAAACTCCAAATAAAGAGTAATACCACCCCTCACAAGTTAGCCACAGAGTATACAAGGTATAAAGAATATATCTAGAAGCTACAACCCTGCAACACAAAGTTAGAACTGAGAATTAATATTTTCTGCACAGACAGTAAATACCGGACATGTCCGGCCGGACATGTCCGATATACACGATTTCTGCAGATCAGCCCCGAACTTGCTCCTTTCGATTTCTATCTTCGAACCAAATTGCAGGTACATACTAGAGATATCAATATACACAGAGAGCCTGCAAAAGAGTTGGAGCAACACAAATATCAAATGAAATGCGAATTGAGACACGATATTTGTTTTATCGAAGTTCGGACTCGTTCGAGTCCTCTCCGTTGAGGGGGCTACGGACGACCCAGCAAAGGTCAGCCCTAGAGGGTACCACGAAGGTCACTCTAGCCGGAGTCTTTTCCAACTCCTTTTCCTCCTTCCACTAATTGATTCCGAGGCGGCGGAATCGACCGTTACAAACTTTCCGAGGCACACCACAATCTCTCAGGTGCTCTCCGGCGACGCCTAACCGTCTAGGACCGAAGAGTCCAAGAGTAACAAATACAAATCACGAGATCGACAATATGCACAAGTGCTCAAGTGGTGGCTTGCTCTCTTTTTCAAATTCTCTCTTAACCCACAAATGAATTTTGCAATTTGGATCACACACTCACTAAGAGAGGGCTTAGAAGAGTTGGCAAGACTAAAAACGTGTATGTATGTCAGCAGAATCAGTAGCCTCCAAATATGGAGGCTTGGGGGTATTTATAGCCCCCTTTGAAAAACTAGCCGTTTTAAAGCCGTTGCAATACCGGACACGTCCGGTATGACTTACACTGCGCCAACAGTAACTAAGTTCCAGTGAAGTTGTGAGGCGTCGGAACTCCTGATGAATACCGGAACTTCCGACAGTCGGAACTCCCGACTTACGTCGGAACTCCCGATCCTCAGGACATTTGAAAACATCGTAACTGAGTTAAAGTGTGTGAGGTGTCGGAACTCCCGACGAATGTTGGAACTTCCGACCGTCGGAACTCCCGACCCTCACGGCATTTGAAAACTAGCCGTTGGCCTCTGGTCGTCCATACCGGACACGTCCGGTATGACCACCACAGTGAATACTCTATTTCAGTTAAATTGCGAGACGTCGGAACTCCTGACCATTGCCGGAACTTCCGATCGTTGGAACTCCCGACCTACGTCGAAACTCCCGACGAACCAACCCGAGGACAAAGGTTTTACTGCTGCTGGACAAATACCGGACACGTCTAGTATTGCTAGACCAGCAAGAAAACAGTTAGCACTTTTGTCTCTCAAACACTCAAAACTCACATGGGTTGACTTGAACACTTATGAAACATTATCTATCAACATGATGCATCCCTCTTAATAGTACGGCATTTCTATTAACTCAAATTTAAAAGTATAACGAAATTAAACCTTTTGAGTTGATCTCTTTGAACCGAAGCCGTGTTTTCCAATCTTCATCAAGTGAGGGTGACAATCATGTTGATATTAAACTTTTCACTTGAGCATAGCCATCTTAAGCACATGACTTGATTCCATTCATCAAATATGAATAACTCCAAATACATCAAGTCACTTCCAACACTTTATCCAATATAGGTTTGATCCTCCACATTAATATGACCGTCGTAGCTTGATTAGTACCTCAACTAAATGCAAGTACTTCCTTCTTCACCCTAGCTAGGTTCTTCGGCCAGCAAGCCGTCGTTTGCCTTTCACCCTTGCTTAGTACCTCGAAGTCTTTCCTTGCTATCTTCACCATCTCAAGCCATCAAGTCATATCTTGTGTTGAATCATCCATTCATTTGTATTGTTGTCTTTTTTATTTCAATTTAGCAAGCTTCAAATATGAGACCATTCCATGTGCAATCCCTCATGTCTCATTAATTAATACTTAAGAGCTTGCTTTCACATAGCACATATAAATCCCACAATAAATAAGCATTTGCATGAATTCCATTTGCATTATTGTCTTATGCTTGAACTAGATTGTTTATACAACAACACATCATTTTGGCTTTCGTTAAGTACCTGTGAGATAACCTATTACCTGTCCACACTCAGTAAACGGGTTAGACCTTTAATCATGTTGTCTTTCAATCATCCAAAACCCACTAAAGGGCTAGATGCACTTTCAGGCGGCGCACTGGCTGAGCCCCTGTGTTGGCCACGCATGGTGTGCAGGTGGGCCTCAATGGTGCCGCGGTTGGCATGGAGCGGTCTCAGGTGCTCCTGTTTCCTCTTGTTTTGTGATTTTGCTTTTGTCTCTCTGATTTCTCCCTACGTTGATTTGGATTCCTATTCTAGGGTTTGGCCTATAATGCCTGCAGCTCCATACCCGTTGCTCAAGGATTTTCCATTTGCCATTAATTTTTTCCTTGAGCCTGTGATGAAAATTCCATACCCGTTGCTCAGGGATATGAACTGATGTTCATTTGCTTGTGAGGTACTAGGCATGACATGCTACTTATATTATGCAATTTCTAGGTAACCCAGTTGTCAGCATGCTTTGAAGCTCCAAGTTGATGAACAGATGATGTCAAAAAAAATATTATCTTCTTCGTTGCGACAAGAGAAATTTTACAAACCTTTAAAAGAATATATTGGTTTGCAAGACTTAGGTTCAGTTCCAGGTAGAGGAATGCAAGACTTAATATGGTTCAGTGCCAGGTACAGGAATGTAGGACTTAATATGGTTAAGTTCTGTCCTTTAATTTCAGATATTCAAATCTATCTTTTGACAGTGAAATGAACTAAAACTATGAAACTCTATCTATACGGTATTCCATACCATGATCTGCGGGAACTTTTTTTTCAGCTTAGCAAATTTTTACTATGATACAACCTAAAACTTTTATTTCTACAACTAGATGCAATCATGTGACATGAACATCCGTATCTGAATTTTACTAATTCAATGAAATGTCTGCAAAGTTTGTCCTTGTTTTCAGTATGAGGTTCCTCGATCAACCTTTGTACATATATGCATATATTTCTGAGGCCTCTAAAACTGTTAAAGGTTTCCTTTGTGATCTTCTTTGTCTATGATGTGGGGCCTTTGCCTTGCAGTCTTCTGTGGCTGTAATGATAGCTGACATGTCCACGTTCCACCTATATAGTGAAAACATCTTTGTATTGTGCTTTTTTCTTTGCCATGGCCAGATTGTGGATTCGAGTTTGTTCATGTCGAATTATTTAGATATTTAGTTAAGATAATATATGTCATGATACATGGCATCTGTATGTTACTTTGCCAAGTTCAGATATTTAGCAATGTAAGGTGCCATGCTCAAACATATTACCTGTGTATAGATGGATAATTACCTTCTTATCTATGTATTCCTTTCCAGCCAAAGGATATAATTTAGTCCTTGCTATAAATAATGTTCCATTCCCCATATGATTTCTTTGCAAAAAAAATCTCAATTCAATTAGTTGCACACGTTCGCTTTATTCGGTTTCAGTCAACTTCCTTTGCTTTTCATACATTTTCCTTGAAATTTATGGAAAATTTATGCTCTGTGCATGAGTAATACTTGGCTACAGTTTTCCATCTTTGCTGTATGTGCTCCCAATTTGGATTGTTACAAAGGCTGGTATTTCTCAGTGCATTCCATTGTGCCTAACTACAAGAGATCAGATGATGCCATTTCGTTTCTTTCTGAAGCCACTCTTATTCACTAAATTCCTACTATTTTTCCATTATAGTGATTTATAGGTTCAGTTGGTCATTTTGTTCTTCTTTCAGTACCGCATCTGTAACTTTGATACTTTGCTCTGTGTTGCACTTCAGCGGCTTTCTTCCTCTCAGTGCATTTATCAACTCATTTCCACAAGTTACCAAACAGGCTACTACGAAAATTCAGGTCAAACATCATTTCCACAAAACATTAGAACTGCTACATTATATCCACAGAGGTCTAACATGCTTCGACAATTGCACAGAATCATCCGTTCATATACAAATTATAGAGACAAGACAACGTCTTCAAAGGACCCTCCGATAGAAACTACTCATAGGGCCTCCCTAACTGGGACCCAAAATGGGTAAATATATAGTGCCTGCTTAGTTTTTAGCTTAGTTGAGTTACCAAAGACAAGCCTACTTTTCATGTACAGGTCTTGTAATTATTAGTCTACAAGCTACTTATCCAAAGCTACCCAAATAAAACCATTTACTAATTCTGAAATCAGTTAATGACAGCCACGTTTTAGTGACTTTGTTGGTCCAATCCTGTCAGTGTCTGCTCTGTTAGTCGGTGAAAAGTGTATGAACTTTGTCACACCTTTCACATGTAATATATGCATCCTACAAGTTTCAACTTATTACATCCCCGAAAATAGCAAATCATATATGGAGTAGACTTGCTACCTCTGCACTGCATTTCCCGGTACTTACTATGCGTGTATTGAGATCTAGATAAGCATCGTTAGCTGCACGGTTTGATTTCCGTTTAATCGTCGGCGCGCGCAAAGTCGCGCGTGATGGACTAGTAGTACATTAACCTTCTTGCCATGATAAGCACCCGCACACAACAACTCTTAGGTGTAGTCATCGTGCAAATTACTACTTGCATCATTGCATTGCATTAGTTATAACACACGCAGCTGCATCTTTCGATGAAAAGCAGCGTCTTGACTACTTCATCTTGGGCGGCGATGACCAAGACAAAAATAACTAGTGCGCAGGCAGGGGCTGCGAGAGCGCGCTGCTTGACTTGATGTTGAGTCTCATTGCCTCATTGGTTAGGGATAGAAATGCCCCAAGCGACACGACAGGACCCGCCACTCACAGAGCCTGTGCTGCTCTAAATCAAAGCCCTACGATGCTTGTCAATTGCTTCAATAGCCCAGGATCATGAGAGGCATACCGCGATGGACAAGTGCACCGGCCGGGATTGCATTGCATACAGGGTTGTCCTAACGGGGATTCTAGCGTCTGTGCGTCCGGACGCCGGTCCGTTTCCAAAACCCGCCCGTCCCCCGCACGAAATAGAATGGAACCTTGCCCGCCCCCCGCATATAGAACGGAACCCGCCCCTGTCCTCCGCTCCCCACCACGCCCCTATCCCCCGTTCCCCCACCGCGCCCCTATCCCAAAGAGCACGGAACACTTCAATTGCAACATTGCAAACGTATGGGAAAACTATGTAGTGCAACATCGGGATATAAATACTGCAACATCGTAAAAATATATAGTGCAATATTAAAAAACATGCACTGCAACATTGAAAAATATGTAATGCAACAACGAAAAATATGCAACGCAACATAAAAAAAATATGTACTGCAACATCGAAAAACATGACATCGAAAAACATGTAATGCAACAACGAAAAATATGCACCGCAACATCGAAAAAATATGTACTGCAACGTCGAAAAACATGTACTGCAACATCGAAAAACATGTACTGCAACATCAGAAAAATATATACTGCAACATCGGAAAACATGTATTGTAACATCGAAAACACATGTACTGCAACATCGAAAAATATGTACTGCAACATCGAAAATTATGTGCTGCAACATCAGAAATTATGTACTGAAACATCTCAAACAGTAGTACTACAATATCGCAAAAACATCTATTGCAACGATCCAAAAATCCCATTGCAACATTCAAAAATCATATGTTACAACATCTCAAAAAACCCATTGCAACACGGGAGAAACAGCAAAAAAAAGCGTACAAAAACAGCCCTGGCCCATCACCTTCGAGCTCACCGGAGAGAGGAGGGAATAGGATCCCCAAAGCTCGCCGGAACCCTATCCATCGCTGCATCCCTCAAATCCAAACGAGGAAGAGGAGGAGAAAGGCTCAGATCCAGAGGAGGAGCACTCAGATCCAAAGGAGGAGGGGGAGGAGGGCTCAGATCCAAAGAAGGACGGACCTTCCTCGTCGGAGCCGCCGCCATCGTCCTCGTCTCCGGTGGGGGTCGCATGGAGGTCGCGGAGGGGGGAGGGAGGGAGAGAGGGGCGATAGTGACCTAATGCGCGGGCGCGGCATCCATCCCGGAGAACGGCGCCATAGCGAGTGGGTGCGGATAAGCAGGGGGGGGCGAGGGGGGTGTGGAGCGGGCGAGCAGGCACGGGGGGAGATGGATGGGATAAGGAATTGGTGGGCGTGCTCGGTGAGTCGTTCCGTGTGAGTCCAGACGGGACGGGCGCATCATTGTCGTTGTCCTAACCAAGCCACCAGGGTGGGGTGTCCTGCATGCCCGCGAGGTTTAGCAGGTTCCCTTTCCAACTCGGTATCTAGCTCGCCACGACATCAATCAGGAAGTGCTCATCCCCTGCGGTGCAATTTGAGTACTGATGAGAACGGAACGCCCAGGGAAAATCTCCAATCCTGCAGTACAGGACTTGCTGAACCAGAGTAGTAAAGCTCCTGCCCCCGAGCAGTTGAGTGGTGTAGCCACACATTTATCCAAATTATTAGTGAACAGACCTGATGCTTGCTGCACCAAAAATGTCCAAGCATGTCTTCAAAACCGTGAGATCCTGCATGCATCCTAGGGGCAACAAAGAGCACCAGGTTGTCTACGTAGAGAGAGGCCCAGAATCGCATGGCATTGCAGCCCAAGTCGGTTAGGGAACCTTGATAATCAATCCACGAGATAATCCTGTTGAGCACGTCCACGCCCAGCACGAATAACATTGGCGACAAGGGATCTGCAAAAACCAAGGAAAAGCATGGATTAAAAAAATGGAAATATCACTGCAACAGCTCAAAGGGCTGATCTTAAGACCTTCGATGGAATGGAAAAAAAAAAAGAAATGATGGAAGGGTAGCCGTATCATTTCACCACACTATTGGACCATACAACATAGATTCTCTTTTCATACAAATTTCAGAGCTGCAAATACTAAATAAACTACATGTGTTTTAACAGAGACAATGCTTTTGACGGTTGATACACTTCCAAATTTCTCCATTACTACTTTTATCATGTACTGAACTACTGGATGTTATGGCACACTGACGCAACCATTTCTTCTCTCTAATGAATATGAGTTAAATAGTGCCAAGTATAAGCACAAGCCTTTCTTCTAAAACAAAAAAAGCATTCAAGGCACTTGATTTTTGTTTCAAAGGAAAATAAATATCACAGATGCAGCAGCATTGAGCGAAATCCTACTAGAATCACAAAAGAACAGAGTACTAAGCGGAAAAGAACTGCTATCAAACAGAATTCAGAACAATTCTATGCATGAGATAGTAAGTGCCTCTTTGGAGTATCGCATGGAAAATATTGACATACTGCTCCTCTATACTGCAATATGCAATGTTGTTTGGTTACATGTTCAATGTCAACAAGAGAAACTTCGCAAGACCAATGTTACCACTCACAAACAAATGATCAGCACGCTAATAACAGACAATGCCCACACTGCATAAATAGGAAACGTCTATTGTGAAAGATCACAAACACACTTTTGAGTTTACAACATACCTCGAAAGCACCGGTGAAACTCCACAAATTCACAGAGGAATGATAACAGAAGGAACTGGCATGTTGGGCCTGCACTAGGCGATGAGCGTGCAGATCATGTAGATATACATGAAATTGCCATGTACAAACAATATTCATTTCTATCTACCTTGCAGCCCGTCCAGAAGTGGTGAATATAGAAACAAAAACCTTAAAAAAGATCAAAAGTATTATATGAAACAACAGAAGCGTGATTGTTAGAGCTTGTTCTTATTCTCTTAATCCATATAATTACAAACAGTAACCACTGCTAACAGTGAGGGGACAATACAGGTTTTAAAATATACGATTTCATCAGGGATAAAGAGGTCCAGATGATTGATTTTATCCCCAGGACTTCAGGATCTCTTGCAAAAATATACAACAATAAGGAGTGAATGCTGCAACACCCGTTAATTTGTAAATTGTTTCCCCATCTAAACATACTTATATAACTGGCACCAGATAACTTGACTCCTTGAGCTGGTGAGCTTGATACCAAAGTGCATTAATAGGATAACATTTCTCGAGAGTGTTTCTTTATAAACAAAGAAGACAACAGAACAGGTCAGAAAATTAGATGACATGTGAAGATGTATCAGCATAATTGAAAACTGAATTCACCTTTTTTTTGTCAACACTCAACTGTTCGCTTCATTGAGGAAACGATACTTTTCAGGCAGAGACTTTGCATGGTGCTAATATTCACCCCTCGAGAAAAGTGATATAAGCATAGAAGTTGTAGAAGCCTCAAGTGAGAAATTCTCCTCATCAAGTTTGCAGAGGTAAGCCCCAGCCCTGCTTATGTCACCTCTATGCAACAACCTCCTAACTAGAGCATTTAACATACATGAGTTTGGAGCAGTACCACTCTTTTCCATTGCTGAAAACAGACCATCGAGCTCCTCTAGCGACCCTTCTTCTATGAGATTTTCTGCTATTAACCGGTAGGTCACAACATTCGGAACCAAACCATGAGTAGAGATAGTAGCAAACAAATCCATTGCATCTTCCTTTCTGCCACCTTCGAGCAGAGCCCCAATCATAATGGTGAAAGTAATAATGTCAAGTTGAAAATAATTAGAACACAGCCTCTGAAACATTTTGAATGCTTCATCAACACAATTGTTTTTGAAAAGCCCATTCAGAATTATGTTGCATGTGTAAATGTTCCACTCTTTTCCACTTTTGATCATATTGAGATAGAGTTCCTTTGCTTCAGAAAATCTCCCATTTAGAAACAGACCATGCAGTATAGTATTGTAAGTCACAGCTCCAGCTGTAATGCCGTTGCGCAACATTTCTCGAAAAAGGCTATATGCATCGTCTACCCTTTGAGCTTTACAGTAGCCATGAAGCAGAGTATTATAAGTAACTTCATCAGGTGTCAGGTCCATTGAAACCATACCATCAAATACCTTCTTCGCTTCATCCATTCTTCTAGCTAAGCAATAACCATATATTAACGGTGTATATGAGACAACATTCGGCCTTACGCCTACATGTTCCATCAAGTCAATGAGCCTCTGGGCTTCCATGACCCGTCCTACATTGCATAAGTTACAAATTAATGTGCTGAAGAACACCACGTTAGGGCGTATCCCTACATTCAACATTTCAAAAAATAATTCCTCGGCCTTCTCCCATTTGTCAACGGTGCACAGTCCATAAACTAGGGCACTGAAAACAACAATGTTAGGAGTCACTCCTTCATTGATCATCTGATTGAATTTAAGGACAGCATCGTCCACCCTGCCTAACTTGCATAGTGTATCTATTAGTGCTCCATAGCTGACAACATTAGGACTCAACCCTTGCTGCCTCATTTTGTTAAAACTATCCATTGCCTTATCTATCATACCACCTTTAGCATATGCACTGAAGAATATGTTGAAGATGTGATGATTAGGTGAAATACCATTTGTTACCATCAAATCTAGGAGATCATTCATATCAGCAAGAGCACCTTTGGCGGCGCACCCATAAAGCAGAACACCATAGATAGTTACATCATGTTTAATGCCCTTCATAATCATAGAATCAAAAAAAAATCTAGCTTCTCTACATTTTCCGTTCTTGCATAGATAGTCCAGCAGCAAGCCATAAGTAAAAACATCTGGCTCAAGACCATGTGCAGACATTTCTTTGAGCATTTGAATCACCTCTTTCCACTTTCCTATAGAGAGATATCCATGGATCAGACAATTGTACGTCACGATGTTGGGCTTGACACCTTTATCAGTCATCTGCTAAAAGACACCCTCGGCCCTGTCAATCGCTTGAGCTTTGCACAGGCCATCAATTACTGTGTTCTATGTCACAATAGCCAGTGGAATCCCCGCATCCGTCATGTAAAGAAACAAGCTATAAGCTTTGTCCACTTGATCCTCTCTGAAGAAACTATTAATGATGGTGTTGTAGGACACCACATCCGGTGTGCAGCCTAGCTCAGGCATTCTTTGGAGCAAAACGTCCATGGCCTCGCTCACCCTCTTTGCGTCACAGAGACCTTTGAGTAGTTGATTGATGACTATGCCATTCACCCTCCAGCCCGTCTTATGGACGAGGCCAGAGACGGCGAAGCCATGCTTCAGGTGTCCCATGCGGCAGAAGCAGCCGATAAGGATGCTATAGGTGCAAAGGTTGGGAACCACCTTGTCAGAGCGCATTCACGGATCATTCGGTTGAAGCGGGTGACGACGAGCTCTGACTCTGAGGTGGAGGGGCGCCGTCCCGAGGCACGAGACACAGCGGTGAGCAGATGGTTGAAGGCGATGACCAAAGCGGGCCTGGCGTGGAGAAGCAATTCGTCGAACAGCTTGAGCGCGTCGTCGAGGCCGAGGCTTCCCGAGCAGGCACGGCCGGCGATGACGCGCTCCAGCTCCAAGCACCGGTCGCGTGCGGCGCTCAGGCGGTAGGACATGCCGACGGTGCGCGGGTGATGGGGCTAGTAGCCCAGCGAGGAGGAGAGGCACGGACGGGCGGGCGGCGCGCTGCGTCCAGATCCGGATCGGTGAAGCAGAGCACTCTCGTGAGCTGGACGGAGCCGCGTGTACCGTGCCCTGGGTTGTGTGAGGGTAGGAGCTGGTGGGCGGCGGCGGTGGCGTGCGCGCGCGCTGGTGGTTGGGCAGGCCGGGCGACGGGCGCAGGTGCTGCTGGGCGGTCGCCGTTGAATTGAGCCTCTACTGCTGTCTGCTGGGCGCTACTGAGCCCCAATTGCCCCGCCTCTCTCTTGACTGTTTTTTTTTTCTTTTATTTCTCTCCCCTCCAATCACATACTGATGTTATGTACTTGCTCAAAAGAAATACTGATGTTATGTACCGCAGAGTCTGAAAAATTCTGAATTTTCGTTCATGTTTTGCACGTATTAATAAGCATTAGAATAGTATAGGCAAAGAAAATAGCCACATTATTTCACTCATTGTCATCTTCCCAGCAAACGATAGGCAGATGGGTGCAAAGAAAAAATTCTGAATTTTCGTTCATGTTCACTCATCGTCACCCCAGCAAACGATAGGCAGATGGATGCTATGAGGGCTGTACAAAAGATTACTTACCTGTGATAAACTTGATGTTGAAGTGCACTAACAGCAGAACATTTCTCTAGAGAATTTCATCATTCAGAGCATTTCACACAGCAAGGCCAAACACATTAGAGCTCAGGACAGAATAATCACTCCAACAAATTGGCAAGTCACATCAAGATGATCAGCACGTACTGAATTCACTTTTTGAGTGATCACTTTTGTCATCTCGACGCTACTTGATCACGAGTTCACTAGCAAAATCATCAAGATTAATAATGATCAAAGGCATATAGCAAATCTTGTTGCTCGCATCTTAATCTAGAGGTTGTGATTGGTTGACACATCTCATTTTACCCACCACATTGAATTAACTGAACACGGCAAAAGAGTACACTTCTTCAGCAGCGAACACAACACCCTTTATTCAAGCTTGACGCACAAATAGAATGCCACAGCACAACAGACCGCATCTGCAACTTGCAGTATTGTCATTCTAACAACATGAAGCGCGGCTGCGTCGGGCTGGGCCCGTCTGGCTCATCCGGCCTAGCCCCCTCGGTTCGCGCGGTGGCCGAGGCATTCGTCCGCGCGATAGTCACGGCAGGGTTCGCGTGCGTCGAGCGTGGTCCTCGAGCGACGGCCAGGGTAGATGCAGCTGCGCGCGTCACGGAGGCGTGGTTGCAGGAGCTCGCCGGCCATGGGAGCGCGAGCCGCCGAGGGCAGCCTGCCACGAAGCAAAAGGGCTGGGCGAATGGAGGTCGCGTCCGGCATCGCGGCCTGGGCGGGCGCGGGCGGCCCCGCGGCCTCACCGGAGCCGGCCATGGTGGGCGCGGCCATCTTCGAGGGCCGGGCTCGCGGCTTGGGCAGGCTTGGGGCGGACGGAGGTCGTAGCCAGCGTCGTGGCTTGGGCAAGCGCAGGTGGCCCTGTGGCCTCACCGGAGCCGCCCATGGTGGACGCGACCTGGGCGGGGCCATGGGCCCCTTGCTGCTAACTCGGATAGAGAGAGAGGGAAGAAGAAAGATGCAGGGGCATAACGGACATTTTGCAGCTCTTCTCTCTCCTCGAATTCTATAAATAAATATTTTATTGGATCCGATACCCACCAGCAAATTTGATAAGACAGTGTTTTTCAGTAAACTGCTCTATTTTAAATGTCCAGCAGCAAAGGAGGTCATTTTCAGTGTCCCATAGCCAATTTTAACGTATAATAAAGGGGCAAAATTTCTGCAACAACTTTTTTTTTTGTCTAAGATCGTGGTCCGGAGTCCTATTCGACGGGTTTTTCTTTTCTCTACGATTGAACTCCTATCGGCGGTTTTTTTTTCTCCATTGCAGATCCGCTTGGGTTTACTCCAATCTAGTGTTTTTAGTCCTCTCCAATGGCCCCGTTCGCATGTCTTTAAACCCGGCTTGATCCACTTCTTTTTTCATCCAGAACAGTATTTTTCTCTCGCAAATTCCTCCGAACCATCTAAATTTTTCTAGAATTCCTCGAGTAAACAGGCCCAATGTCTCTCTCTCAACTGTCATATTGGGAGCGCAGGGGCTGGCCACCAGATGCGACGGATGGAGGTGGATCTCAGCAGCAGATTCACGAATTCCATTCTAAAAAAAAAAGATTCGTGGTTTCCACTCGGAGCGCTGGCGCCGCGTGTAGCAGAACTACGCACTAGCAGCAGCAGCCAGCAGAACGCAGCAGGATAAAGGATCGTGGTCCGTAGACGGCCGGAGACAGTTCGGTAGCACGCCGGCACACCTGGTCTGCGGCAGGAGGTGCGCTATACCTGTACGCATCAGCGAGCACCCAACAGATCACGTACATCACAGGTATAAGGTATGTTCATTTTTTTTTGAGGGGTAAGGTATAAGGTATGTTCATTTTTAATTCACTTTAGTAGTTGATTGATTATTTTATTTGAAGCAAATCAAGCAATAGGATATTAGGATCAACAGTGAGAGTTAAAAACTAGAGAAATTAATGCCTGAACGTCGTTAATGCTTGACCGTGCATTGCACTGAGGCCACGTTTGCGCAGCCGTGTGACCTCCGAGGATTTCGTATGACATGGGCACATGTGTTCGGTATTTGTATCCAAACCGGAAAGGATACAGACACATGAGCTATAAGTGAAGGATGATTCGTATCGGATGCGGATGCGTGAGCAGGATCGAGATTTAGTATCAACGAGTAGATGACGATGTTACAGTCTTTTTAGGTGTAGAGATGAGAAATAGAGAAGAGAAGAGATTGATCTTTCTCCAAAAACAAAAGATTTACACTATCAAATTATTGATGTAGTTCAGATTAGAAACAAACTTTATACTTACTAAATGTAGATAGCCGATGATCTAGGTAATTGTGAACTAAAATCTTGAACAGTTTGTTGTCTAATTCAGCCTAAATAAATGCAATCACTGACTAGAGTTGCTATGCGACAAATCTCGAGAGGTTTCCGATCACAATCATCGACGGTCCAAACCAATCTTTGATATGTCAACAACTAACTTCTTGTTGACTTTAGCGAGAGATTAAATTAGCATATATTCGAGTCCTCAAAAAAGTCATGGAGCTTAATATTTAACCATGATATTATGAAAATTAAAGATATAATATATTTATCTAAATACCTCTATGCTTTGCAATGAGAGAAAAAATCTACCAAGGTTGTATTTTAACTCGATGCAGTCTTAATATTCATTCTCATATTATTGCCAACATTAACTTATATATTATAGTCATAGATTCAAAATTTTATAGAAAGGATAAACATAAATAGATATCTACCATTTATGTTGCCGTTTCGAACGAGTTTGATAGTTTTTCTCCCATTACAACGCACGGGCAAGTTTGCTAGTTTGAATAAAAGATGGAAATATCACTGCAACAGCTCAAAATTCTTCTACTGCGTTTATGAAATCATCATGTGTCAAATCATGGAGTGCATTACCAACAATGGCCTGTTCTTAGCTTGTGAGTAAGAGACTCCCTATTCCTGTAACAAGAACAAAAAAAATAATAGGGTCTAGACATCTAGCTAGTATCAAAGCACAAGATATATATGAGTTAATCAAGTGTAACAGGTAACCAAGTACTAGCATGTATTCACATTCTTTGGGTTGCAAAACGGAGTTTGGATAATATGGAATCAACAAAGGCATTTAGCCACATGCAAGTTGGGTAGGCTTGTATAGTTTGAGCTAAAAAATATTTTAGAAAGGTTCCTCGATAAATAGGAAAACATAATCCACCACCACCCACACTTCTGGTTTCTGGAAGTATAAATAAACACAACAGTTCTGGTTTCTGGAAGTATAAATAAATAAACACAAGGTTCTGCATTTTCAACTCAGCAGCGGAACCACTGCAAACTTTTTAAAACAGCAAGAGGATGTAAGTGTAATCAGATAACCTTGTACCTTGTTATGTCTCAAACCAATCACAAGGTTGTATTTTAAATTCAACTAACTTCAACAGTGCAACTGCTGCAAAACTTCTTATAATAGCAGGCGGATGTGAGCTTATCATACATCCATGCATTTTACTTGTCTAACAGTGCTTCACAAAACTAAACAGAAAAGTATACAGGAACACAATTTTCAGCATAGTTTCCTACTCCTGTCTTGGGAAGATCTCTGCTAGCAGATGCTTGTTTTATCATATTTATCCATCTTTTTTTAAAACGATATAAATATAAATCACTGGCATGGTTTAACACGAAGATCAACTCTGAATTTAAACTTTTAAAGGCAACTTCTTAATTTCTGGAATTACCAAATGCATACAGCTCCCCCACCCCCTCTTTTTTCCTTTGCATTAGCACTCCCCCCTCTTTTTTCCTTTGCATTAGCACTTGCATAAAAAAGTAACAAGGACACTTTTGCTCCATGGGCAGGAAGAACAAGAAGCTCAAAATGCGTCACCTTTTCAATCTCATCTTTTTGGTCATCATCCACAAAAGAAAAACTCATGTTCTCATCATAAACTAGAGGTGGAGATCAGACGACAAATGGTAACCGAAGGAATAGGCATACTGGACCTGTACTTGGCGATGAGCCTGCAAATCATATACATATACATCAGCCTGCCCTATAGAAGCAAATATACGTTTCTTTCCACCTTGCAACCCGTCCAGAAAGCGGCGAACACATGGGCGAGGAGGTGGTTGAAGGCGGGGGTAGCAGTGGCAAGGCCTGGCGTGGAGGAGGCATTCGTCGAACAGCTGGGAGTGCGTGGTTGACGCCCGGGTTGCCCGGCCTCGCGCCTCCAGCTGATCGACGAATTGCTCCCGCACGGCAGGGCAGAAGCTCTGAGACCACCGGCCGCGTGGCCGGATGCTGAACGGCGGCGCGGATCGGAGCCTGTCTGGATAGGTGGGGGCGGAGACGGAGCAGCGTGCACTGCATCGGTGAGGGTATGAGGCGCTGGAACTGAAACGGTGTGACCAGCGGCGGCGTGTGCGGTGCGGGGGTTGGTCTGGGCTGCTGGCGCTGGCAGCGGCGGTGTGTGCTAGGGTTGAATGGTTTTTATTTAGGGTTTTGGATTCGGAGGAGACGGATGTACTTGTCCGTAAGTGTTGAAATATTTGGTCTGGACCAACTTAAACTGATGCCTTGGCATCAAGCCCAGGGCTTTTCCTCAAAAACAAATCAAGCCTAGGGCTAAGAAGGCAACACCAAAAACGTAATGCTCTTAACCGAACGTCCGTCCGTTCGGACGCTCTGTTGCTAGGCCACGACGCTAGCTCAACAACCCACGCTCCTTTTCCGCGATGTGTAGCCATTGTCGCCGCTCGCCACCTATAAGCGCCGCCGGGCCGCTGCCTCCAGTGAACACGAGCCTCCATTCTACCGAGCAACAAGGAGATGTTTGTGTTGAAAACGGATATTACAAGAGTATGTTTCAATTGTTTCAGATGTTTTAGAGATATGTTGCATGTGTTTTATATGGATGTTGCAAAAATAGATCAGGATGTTGCACATGTTGCAATGGTTGTATATGTATGTTGCAAGCGTCCGTTTTAAATGTTTCATCTGCTTTTTCAAACGTACGTTGCAAGTGTGCTTATTTGGATGTTGCATATGTTTTACACATATGTTACAAGTTTTATCAAAATGTTTTATATGTCTTGCAATGGCTTTTCAAGTGTTTTCATATTCTTGCGAGGGTTTCAGACACATATTCAAGTGTTTCATGTGTCTTCAGAAGCATGTTGTAAATATTTCATCTAGATATTTTAAAAGTAGATCCAGTATTGCTACCGGGGACCCACCTCTGAGCGGGCACAGACGTTCGGGCGGGGGAAGCAGAGGGGGCGCAACCGGGGGTCAGGTGGTGTGGGCGATGTTCATGCGGTGCAGGCCCCACATGGGCGTGCAAAACGGAGTGTAGACACAGACATTCGGACGCGCGTCCAGCACTGCCGCACCAAAAAAAAAAGCCTGCCATCTCATCTCAGGGCGTGTTTAGATCTAAATTTTTTGGATTTTGACTACTGTAGAACTTTCGTTTGTATTTGACAATTAATGTCTAATTATGAACTAATTAGGTTCGAAAGTTTCGTCTCGCGATTTCTCATCCAACTGTGCAATTAGTTTTTTTTTCCGTCTACATTTAGTATTCCATGCATATGCCACAAGATTCGATGTGACGATCTGCGCAAAATTTTTTGGAATCTAAACGGGGCCTCATTCTCATCTGTGGGCTCTACGAAGGCATTGGTGTCCAACAACTAATGTACATATACTGACAGTAGATCGTGTGACTAAAAAGCATGGAACATAGTTACGTTAGCCCACGGATTGCAATTCAGCATTGTTGGTCATCCCTGCAACCTCAGAGTTTACAGGCATACAGCAACCTTCTGATAAGGCCCTCCAGAATTCAGGGATATCAGTCATCCCGCAAAAGGTTATATTATACAGTGCACTGCTGCAGCTTTACATAAGAACACGGCAGCTGTGCTATGTTTTGCATAGGCATCTCAAAGCACCCAGGCGGTTCAGTGATTCAGCAGCAGATACATGATTTTCTTTTTACCCGCCTGTCTCTCTACCTGAACCACCATCTTTGGATCGCAGAAATGGGCGTCTGGAGGAACGGGGCGTAGCGGTGGATGTATGGATTCACAATCCTGCCGATATTCGCCCAGGCGCTCTGGTGATAGCTGGATGTCACAGGAGCATGGTACATCAGCTTCAATACCTGCACGATAAACAAGCATGTGAAGAGCACTGGTAGGCAATGCAGCGTGTGTGCGCTGACCGTTAATACAAGTTACTTGGGAAAGAGCAGTAATACACCTAACAGACGATAGTTATAACTAATAACCTAGTTGCTATTGTCGACCAAATTCTAGCTGGTTGTTGGTGGACAAAAAGCAAGGCAGAAGATAAATTGGATCTCTTGGAATTGAAACAATAACACAAACAAGGTAAAATCAGTACATTTGGCCAAAGATACAGAGGTTAGGAATTACATGCAGCAAAACAGCATGCAAGTAAGAGATGAAATACAAAAAGGGAAGCCTGAACTTTTGGGGGCTAACTCACCTGCCAGTACATGAATGTCTGAATTATGCTACGGCGCCACCTGCAACACAAAAGGGTAAAGGTCAAAGATGTACTGTAGTTCCTAAGATAAAATTAAAACTTCAGAATAGTATGGAAATCTGAATATACATACGAGAGCAGTGATATGATCAGAAGAAAACCCAAGGTAATTTCAGCATTTGAACTAAGGAGGCTCAGTGTAGTATTATTTGTCTCTACCCAAAGACAAGGCTCTTCCAGGTATTGCCTGAAAAAGACATCGACACAGTATTGAGAAATGGGAACTGGATACCGATTGTGCCAAGGATACAGAAACGAATCCACATACAGTTACCTATAGAAAGAGGATCGAGCAAAGTTACGCCTTAGGAATCTGGCAACATGATCAAGTGCCCAGCAAAGCACAGGTAGTGCAGCAACTGTGAGAAATATAAAATTATGATGAGGCAAGCATATCCAAAAGCAGACATCAGAGACATGAATTTGCACGAAACAAGGTGCATCTTACTCTTCAAGTGCAATTGAGATGTGAAGAGCATAAAAGAGAACATTAAATGGATAAAATCCTTGGTTGCAAGTACAGACTGCAACCAAGCTTTAATTGCTGGCATGTTCCATGCTCTTGGTTTCTGTACACAAAAGAAAATTTAATCAAAGTCACATCATGCAAAAAGAATCTGGTAAGATAGGCAGGTAATTACCCCATAAGTACTGTATAGAGAATATCCTGATGAAAATATTGTTCCCAGTAGTGAAAGTTTGCAAGCTCTGTCAGCAAGGTGTTTTGGCAAAATAGGAAGCATTCCCAGACCAGCAACCACAAGTATCTGAAACATAATATTTCGGTCATGCCCACAAGTAATGAATCAAAAAACCACAAGCAAGGTTCAGAACAGTAACATGACAGGCTGATGAGTCAGCGGTCAAGAACAAAGAGTGTTTCCCAATGGCATGCCCACAAGGATTGCCATAGAAACAAGCAGAACAATGGAACTTGAAAAACCAGCTAGCATTTTAGACACATGCAATTAACAATTCAATAAACCAAAGAAAAGAGTGGCTTATCCCTTACCCATGCGTTGAGGGAGAAATGTATACTCCGTGCATCGAACCGTAAAGGGTTGGCAGCACTGTCTGTTTGTGTAGGTGGCGGCGGCGGCGGCACTGACCTCGAAGTAGATCCTACACAAGAAATCGATTCAGCTAACGATACATGTGTTACAGAAACTGATGGATGTCCAAAACATATATGTTTTACCTGAATTACGTGCCCTGGCATTCTCGCTGGATGACGAAGACGAAGACCTTACATCTGGCCTGCTGGGCTGAGTGGAACCGGTGAATGACCTCGGCTCAACGACCAGATCATGGTCCTGTGGAACCAAAGGGGGGGGGGAAATCAAAATGCATGAACTACTGTATTGCTTCACTCTTCAGTGTCCAGAAGCACACAAGCGATGATATTTATTAACTCAAAATGTGTGCAAAAGCAAATGGCAAGAATTTGTTTTCCATTTTCTTAAAAGTCTGCATACAAACAAACTTGTTCTGTGGCCCTGCCTGCTCAACTGCATAACAGTATCCTGACTCAACTTATAGATGGGTTGTATGGATAATAAACTTACTAACTAAGAATGAGCATACTGCATTCCCCATAATGAAATCACAAGCTTGAAGGAGTAGCACAAGCACCCAGGGTTGGAAGCAAGCAACACATGGAATCGATCGAACATGCCGTGTTCAGGTACAGTCTACAGTAAGCAAGCAGACCGTCAGCGGCTAACAAAGCAGCGGGTCGCGACTGGATCTCTGCTCAGCCACTCGCTGCAACCAGCAGTCCAGCATATAAACCCGACGCTACAAGGCAAGCTCCTGCAATCTGGACCTCAACACGACAAGCTTAAGCAAACCCCAGCACACGAATTTAGCAGGACTGCTATTCCGTACGGAAAGCGCGTCAGATCCTAAATTAGTACTGCTACTCAGCGCGCGCAGACGGGTAGGGGAACAGCGGCGGCGGCAGAGGGGAAGGGGAATCGCGGAACTCCAGGGCAGGTGGAGGGCGGCGCCAGCGGTGGAAGTGGAACTCACGACGTAGCGCTGGTAGAACTTGCGCTTGAAGTGGTCGACGACGTCGGGGCGGGAGGCGAGGTTCGGCGGGACGAGGACGTTGGACCAGTAGTCGTCCCAGCGCGCGTCGCCCTCGTAGTCGTACGCCGCCGCCGCCGCCCGCTTCTGCTCCTGCTCCGCGTCGGCCGCGGACCCCGCCATCGCTCGCCGGGGCTGGGGGTTGGGTGTGGGGGTTTTGGGCCTGGCGATGAGGACGGGACGGGGGACTGGCACGCACACTGGCGACGCGACGCGACGCGAGTTGGGGAATTTTAGCTTGGCACTGGCGCACGCGATGGCGATGGCGATGCCGATGGCGATGCGAGGGGGGGACTCGGCAGGCTGTCCTGTCGCTGGGTCGCGCTTTTCCTTGCCTTTCGCGGGCCGTGGGCTGTGGACCACGGCCCAATGGGTCCTTGGGGCCAGCTTGGTAGCGAATCGGATCGTGTCGGCATCTATGGCCCAGACCATTAGCGAAGTGGATCGTCTCTCGTGGTTTGTTGCCGTGTTGGGTGCACGGCCTGGGCATTCCCTTTTGTTTTTATTGTTAGTATTAGGTTTATTTGCCTCAAATTTTAATGATGATGAGGTTTGTGGGAATTCTAGAGCACCAGGTTACAAGAAAAGAAAAAGAAAAAGAAAAAGAGTAGCATCCAAGGATTCATAAAAGCAGTCTCCCGTTGGAAACACACCTCAAATGAAGAATTTTTTCTTTCAAGTACAATACGAAGAATCTTATGAGATCAATGGGGGGAAAACATGACCAAATTGTGAAGCACAGTGGAGACTTGCATTTCTAGTCAAACGTTATGAAGTTCAGAAACTGTTTCTTAGAGTTATCTAATTTCATAATTCACAATGATAGTAATATTAGGTTTTGGGAAGATAAGTGGTTAGGAAGCTTCGCTCAATGCCATCTCTCTATAATATTGTTAGTAAAAGGCATGTTTCAGGTATTCAGGTCTTTAATTCTAGACTGCTTAATCTTACATTCTGTAGCAAAATAGAATGAGTTGGCCATGAAAGTTACTTTTGTGCAATTAAATGGCCAACAAGATTTCTTTTATAGTATAGTCAATCAGTCAATGTATAAACGTTTGGTAAACCAAATTGTGTTGCTTGTTGGTAAGGCTATTTGGAAGCTAAAATTGCCCCTTAAAATTAAGTCTCCCTTTGTTCTTTATAAAGGAGGTAATTTTAACTCAACATGATAATCTTGTTAAGGAGAATTGAAAAGATGTTGAAAAATGTTGTTTTGCATCAATAAAGAAACCCTCAACACTTGTTTTACGATTGTCATGAGGCGTGTTTTCTTTGGAGAGCGTTTTATGTTGCTTTGGTTACAACCACCAAGAAACACAATAGTTTTTTTTTTGGCATTGGCAAAACAAAGTACTCTAAATCGTGATCCCAAGTTTGTGTGGGAGTAAATGTAATCAATTACTATAGTATTTGGTTGAGCCGAAATGATAAGGTTTTTGACAAAAAGTGAATTTATTATTACTTATAGGTTATTTTTAAGGCCATGTGCTGGGCACGTTTTTGGTCCATCCTCTAAAAGGAGTGTGTTTTCTTTGGAGAGCGGTTCATGTTGCTTTTGGTTACAACCACCAAGAAACACAATAGTTTTTTTTTTTTGGCATTGGCAAAACAAAGTACTCTAAATCGTGATCCCAAGTTTGTGTGTTAGTAAATGTAATCAATTACTATAGTATTTGGTTGAGCTGAAATGATAAGGTTTTTGACAAAAAGTGAATTTATTATTACTTATAGGTTATTTTTAAGGCCATGTGCTGGGCACGTTTTTGGTCCATCCTCTAAAAGGAGAACGAGAGGATCTATTGTACGTCACAGGCCGCAACAACGGAGATCTTGCTAAGTCTGAGTGATTGTTTTCTAATAGACTTAGTAGTTAGCGCCTAGTTTGGTGCATGCATGTATTTGTTTTCTTTACGAGAGCTTGGTACTATCAGTCAGATGCTATAATTGTAATAAAGGATGACTAAGTGCATGACTTGTGTAGAGGTCAGAATTAAAAAAAAATCTTTTTTCTAAAACAAATGAGATCATCAATATATCTCTATCTCTATCTTGAGCTGTATCTCCAAGTGATATTTAATCTATATCTATACCTAATATTAAAAACATTACATGTATCTATATGTAATATTAATCTATATTTTCTTGTATACCTAAAAAAATCTAAGAGGATTTGAATCGAATGAAGCACGGGCACATTCATAGTTAATAAAAAATATCAATAGAGAGATTTCCAGATCAATTGCACCCAGATGTTCATAGGCCCTGTTCGCTTGAACTTATCAGCCGTACCGTTTCAGCGAAATAACAGTGTTTTTCTCTCACAACACATCAGCATCAGCATCGACCGATTTTTCAGTCAGCCGAGCCTGTCAGATACAGCGAGCCATTCATCAACCACAACGCGACACGTCCAATTTGGCACGCGACCGATCCATCCTTTTGACTTGGCGTTCCACTTCCAACACAATCGTGGGTACAGTCACTTGCAACTTTTGCCGAGAGGAAACAAAACTGGCACAGACAGAGAAAGAACACGGATACATATCCACGCACTCCGTCCTAAAATTAAGAAATCTTAAGTTTGATTAAATATACACAAAAACATAATTATGTTTATAGTACCAAATAAACATCATTAGATTAACCACATCATATAGTTTCATGGTAAACCGGTTTGCCATGTTCGCTTAAGCTTATTCCGAACTACTTTTCAACTATAGAACAGTGTTTTTCTCTCACGACGTTTCAGCATCGGCGAACAGGGTAACAAATGTCTGATACTATTTTCTACTTAAGCTTGAAATTAGTTGATTCTACTTATTTTGAGATGGAGGGGAAGGTCTGTCCGCTCGCTTTCCAGCCTGTAGCATACTAGCATCCCACACTGTGATTATCTGATGGCGCCATCGAGCCGTCGACCAACCGCGTCAGGATCAGGCTCCTTCGCCGGCACGGAACGCGTGCGATTAACCGATTACCATTCCAGTTGAGCAGGTGCCCTCTGGATCTATCTGGTAGTGGGAATCAACAAGCGGAGACCTGGACCTGACCTGATCGGCGGGAGAAGCTTCCTGCCAATCTCACTCTCCATTCCAGTTCAGCGAGGAAACTTGCGGCGCACAGCACTCTGCGGAAAAAGCAGCAGCCTGCCGTTTCAGAAAGAAGCTTGGATGCCAAGGAAATACAATAAATCAAATGCTGCTTTTTCTTTTCTTTTATTCTTCTCTATATAATTATACAATAAACAACAAAAGAAATGCAACTACTACTTGTCTTCTCATTTCATTCCTACTGAACCATGATGACTTCATCCAAGCACTAGTCTAAGTGCAGTGCAGTCTTCAGTGTGTGAACTCCGAATAAGATCCAGTAGGATATTATTCAAAGTTGGGGGGCTTACAATCAACGGCTAGAAGGAACCAGAGCAGCTGACAAAAAGGAAGGTACTTATTCGTGCCTCCAAAAGGCATTTTAAAAGCCTCCATTATTTAGGCCTCGTTTAGTTCCTCCCATAAAGTTTACTCCCTATCCCATCGAATATTTAGACACATACATGAAGTATTAAATATAGATTAAAAAATAACTAATTACATAGTTTGTGACTAATTTACGAGATGAATCTTTTAAGCCTAATTAGTCCATAATTTGACAATATGATGCTACAGTACACACATGTGTTAATGACGGATTAATTAGGCTTAATAAATTTGTCTCGTGGATTACTGACGGGTTCTGCAATTTTTTTTTATTAGTATCCGAACACCACATCCGATGTGACACCCCAAAACTTTACGCCCTGGATTTAAACAAGACCTTAACCTATAACTAATGAAAAGAGAGATTTATTATTCACAGTTGGACACAGGTCCGGGTATGCGGTAATGCATGTGACGCCCTCCTCTGACCAAGACCGCACTCAAGGAAGTTGGAGGAGCATAGTGATATAAACTATTCCTTTTAGACGAAGTCATCCATCACTTGACCCCTCCCAACTCACTCACGCCTATAAAAGCCCCAGCCCGCACCCAATTCTCCTCATACTCTCCTTCCTTAGCAACAAAGCAAGCCAGCCTGACCCTCTCACACCACTCTCACTGTTCCACACCAAGATCCAAGGGCAAGAATAGGCAAAAAGAGTAGGGGGCAAGGAACTCGCTCACCACCATGGCGTCCTACGACAAGGCCTTCGAGTCCTACAAGAAGGCCCTCACCACAGCAGCATCCGTCGCAGCGTCCATGATGCTGGTGCGCAGCGTGGTGAACGAGGTGGTGCCGCCCGAGGTGCGCGAGCTGCTCTTCTCCGGCTTCGGCTACCTGCGCTCGCGCACGTCTTCGGACCACACCATCATCGTCGAGAAGAAGAACGACGGGTTCGCCAACAACTACGTCTACTGCGCTGTGAAGACTTACCTCACCACGCGCATGAACACTGACATCCAGCAGCGCCTGCGCGTCAGCAGCATGGACGAGAATGACAAGATGATGGTCAGCATGGATGAGGGCGACGAGATGCTGGATGTTTATGAAGGCATGGAGTTCAAGTGGCGCCTTGTCTGCAAAGACAACTCAAATGACTCCATGAACGGCGGTCACAGCGAGTCCCAGTTCTTCGAGTTGACCTTCAACAAGAAGCACAAGGACAAGGCCCTCAAATCATACCTCCCATTCATTTTGGCCACAGCCAAGGCCATTAAAGCCCAGGAGAGAACTCTCATGATATACATGACTGAGTACGACAATTGGTCCCCAATTGACCTCCACCACCCATCTACATTCGACACGCTTGCCATGGACCACAAGCTGAAGCAGTCCATCATCGATGACCTTAACAGGTTCATGAAAAGGAAAGATTACTATAAGAAGATTGGCAAGGCATGGAAGCGGGGGTACCTGCTGTATGGTCCACCTGGGACTGGGAAGTCAAGCCTAATCGCAGCCATGGCCAACCATCTCAGGTTTGACATATATGATCTCGAGCTAACTGCGGTCACATCCAACTCAGACCTCAGGAGGCTTCTTGTTAACATGGGCAACCGATCCATTCTTGTGATCGAAGATATTGACTGCACCATAGAACTGAAACAGCGGGAGGAAGGTGAAGGACATGACGAGTCAAATTC